GAGTCACCTAGAGAGAAAAAATTCTCTCAGGCTTTCACAGAGAACAAATTGGTCAAGCAATGGCCGTAACTCATCCACACGACTGACACTGACAAAAGATCTACAAGGCACTGTACATGGTTACAGTGTAACTCCTGAGGGGATTTGACTGACCTCATCTGAAAAAATGAAACAAAAGTTTCATTTTTAGTTATGTAGGTCTTGCTTTAACTTGGTCTTAACCATCAAGCAGAAAAGTATAACCGTGAAATATGAAAAATGATGCCATATTAATATGCTGAGCTATAAAAGGCTCAAATCAACAACTTTGGACATTTGCCAGTTGTGCTGTTAACTCACTACTATCATGGACTACTGGACTATGTTGGGATATTGTGTTGAATTCAAGTACCTACAGTCTCTAGACTGGCTTCAAGTATGAAAAGGCCCTTTAAAGGCTTCTCCAAATACAGCTTCCCTAACTGCAGAGGAACACCCATCTCTGAAAAAACAAAATGAAAAAAGAGAATGTGTTGGGAGCCATGAAGCTAGGAAATCGATCAAATATATGAAGGTGGGACTTGGCCCAGTGCCTAAAGCAAACAAGCTAGCTCACTCCTGAGATGAACATCCTGTCTGGTTAAGGTTAGCTATCAGCTGCCAGGCAACCTAGTGTTATGTGTTACTAACTTCACAAAAGTGTAAATAAAGGAGAGTTTTGTTGTGAAAAAAAAGGAAAAGAAAAAAATATATGTATGCACAAGAGAGTTAGGACAGATCTACAGCTACTTCCTCCTAGTTCACTGAGAATCGAAGTTTGTACTAATATGGGTTAGACAAGATATCATGTCTGCATCTTGCCCTCTGAATAACTACTACAAAGACAACAATATGCAATGTATTAATTACTGTAAACTTTCTACTAACCTGTTTTAAAACTATTTCCTTGCTGTTTTGTCTTTTTTTCTCATTAAAATGCATAAAAATTTTTAAAAAATAAAAAAAAAATTGAAAAAGCCTTAGGTCAGCAGAAATTTGCATAAAAGTTGTTAATGGTATGGTTGCTACGAATGGAGGAACCTAGCACAAAAGCAACCACTAGTAGGCACAAGGTTGTTTCACCAGTCAAAGGCTATGAATTTCATAATGCAGTGCTTATAAAAATCACAAGTCTTAACATTTTCTTATAAAATAAAAATACTAAATCTGGAAGAGGTTATTTATTTAATGGTTCCCTCCATCAGATAGGAAACTGCATGCCAGAGAGACAGATGCCTTCCTAAGGTCAGGCGGCTAAGGGTGACTAGGCTGGGCCCTGGGGCCTGGGCTCTGCCTGTCAGCTCTCTATTGGCTTCCTTCCCCAACCAGTGCTCACTGTGGCGCCTGCTGAATCCTTGATCCAGGGCCTGTGAGGTGTCTGGGACCTTGATTCTCTCACTGCCTCAGGTCCCCTCTTCCAATCTCCTTTTCACCTGCATTTTGTTCTGTCTATATCGTACAAGTGACTGTCGCCTTGAATTCCTGCTTTGCCCCCCTTCCTCTTCCTCCCTCCACCAGTTTTCTATTTGAATCATGGCCTACTGTTAAGAAACCTCTTGAGCAAGTGTTGCCGGAACAAGTGTGTATGTGGGAGACTCAATTTGGGTGTCTTTCTGATGCTGTCTGGAATAACTCTCTAAAGTGGGTCATAGATCTAAATGTAGGGTCTGAAATGCTAAAATTCCTATGGGGAAGCATAGGTATATGGCTGCTGGTACAGGTCAATGTAGAACACATGCTTAAGGAACAAAGGGCTTGGGTTCGGTCCCCAGAATAAAACAGAGACAGCAAAATGTAGGTATAAGCCTTTTTGATCTTGGGTTAGGCCATTGTTTCTTGATAAGTTCCTAAAAATATCAGTGATAAAGTAAAAAAAATATATAGATTGGAGAGCAACATTACACTTTATAAGCATTGTATTATAAGCGGAAATGCAGTGTCTGCAATAAAGCTATTTAAAATTGGCGCTAAATAGAGAGTACTGCAAACAACACTGTCAGGAAAATGTTTGCAAATTATTTACTTATGAAGTGTATGCATTGGAAAATATACCTATTATAATTCAATGATAAGAGATAAATAAGTCAACTATAAATGTGAAGATTTCAGCTAGAAATTTCCCGAATACATACAGAAATTTGGAACTAGCACATAAAACATGTTCAACATCATTAGTCATGAGGAAAAACAAATTAAAACCACAATGTAATATTATTTTATAACCACTAGGATGATTTTATTAAAAAATAAACAAAACTATAAAGAGCACTGGAAAGGTTGTAGAGATACAGGAACTCATTTATACTGTGTATGGGATTATTAAATGGTGTAGTTGTTTAAACCATCCAGTAGTTCAGAGAATATTTGATGAGGAGTTATTGTATGACCTGGGAATTGTACGGTTAGATGTTTACTCTAGAGAAACCAAAACTACTTCCAAAACCTTGCATGTAAAATTTTCTTTGTATTATTCATAACTGGCCGCTCTATCCCCAAAGAACGTATCCATACAGTGAGGCAAGTTTTGGAAATGCAAATGAAATACTGCCACATTGATGGTTGCTACATGATGAATCTTGGAACTCATGCAGGTGACGAAGCCATTCATAAAAGTCCACAGTTTGCATAATTCATCTATGTGAGATGAGTAAAAGTTTGATTTTAATTATTCAAGATTTGTTATGAAAATACCTACCCAAAAGTTATTTCCCACTTTATCATTTCTGGAGAACAATGATAATAATTAATGTGGTTCATGAAAACAGCAGAATAATTTTTTTTTTTCATTGCCTCTGTGAAGGATCTTCATGTTTCGTTTCTGCGCAAACCCTTCTGGGAAGCCCCCACAGCTATCCCTTCAGGAATGTGAACCCTGAACTATTGTTTCCCTGCTTAAAACTTTCCAATTTCCTTCTTTTGGACTTTGAATACAATTCAGCTCTGTACAGTGGCACCCACTTCTTTGGTCTCTGAACCCACCTACTTTTTTTAACCTCATATCTTTTTCTTTCCTTAAGCCACAGGAGCCATAATGTTATTCTGCCTGTTCAGAATAAGCTCTTCAAGCAGAGAACACTTTTGCTGCCTTTGTGTATCTGCCACAAGTGCCTCTGCTTGTGGTGGGTTTTGCTTACATAGCTCGCTGCTGGACCTTGCTGTTACAGCATCGCATCCTCAGAGACAAAAAAGAAATGGAAATTAATGTAAAAAATGTCTTCCCCTTCTCTGTCCATCACATACACAGCCTCTGCAGCTGCTGATGCAGTCTCTTCTCGTTCCTCTCTACTGCGCTGGCAATTCCTGCCATGAGAACACCAGAACCTAGAGCATTAGGAGCACCTCAGAGGGGCAGGTACCCTGCAGGCATGCAGGGAATATTCATTGAATGTGTGAATGAATGTGTGAATGAATGAATGAATGAATGAATGAATGAATGAATGAAGAGCGCCTGAGGGGTTGGAAGTGCATGGTGCCACCAGAGCCTTCATTCCCTCTTCTAGCAGAACATGCAGTGATTTGTGGTTCGTAGGCTAAATGGTACAAGATTATGAAAACGTGTAAAGGTCAACACATGGAAAATCAAGGTAAGCAATGAAATTATCACCAGTTCCATCCTGAAGATGTAGTAAGACAAGGTTTGACCTCTACCACCAAATGAAAACCAAAATAAAAGCGCCCCTAAGTCCATAATGTCCTGTTTTTAAACCATTTTAACAAATGAATTTAAATTTCTAGGTATATGCAAACAGTGTTCTAATATTTCTCTAGTTTTTCTTTCTGCGTCTCCCACCGCTATTCTTTTTTATGCGACTTAGCCCATTATTTATACTCTTCCAAGCTTCCACAGTATTTGAAAGCACGGCCATCTATTAGGATTGATTCACTAATAGAAAATTCTCATTACACTTTTAGATGCATTACAGTGTTAACTTTTCCTTTCATCTGCTTTTACTCTCCTTTCCAAAAAGTACTTCTTGGAATTCACTTTTCAAATCAAGAGTCTGTGCTGCACCCAGAGAACCTCCGATTATTTGTTCCCACCAAGTGACGAGGAATGTGTTTGAAGTTTGGTTTTAACTGCTTTTTGGCAACACGGGCCCCCTGGGGGGAACAGAGAGGCCGGAGGACTCCTGCCTGTGCCACGGAGAGCGCATACAGGCGCACACACAGCGCGCCGCGCCGAGCTGCCTGCGACCTCTGAACGCTTTACTGACTCTGGCTCAGCACGGCAGGACCAGCCTCAGCTCTGAGCACATCCGCACCGCGGGAGTCTGCGACTGGGGAGAGGACTCTGGTGTGGCAATCCGCGCCCCTCTATGGTGTTCCCCAGGAGGTGCTCCGTCGGCGGGATGCCCCCCTAGATTGGGCCGCGATGCTCTTCCAGGTGAAGTTCTCCTGGCCGCGTAAGACCTGTTTCCTCCAGTCACAGATTGATGAAAAGTAGAAAGCCAAATTGCCTGTGACAACAGTCAATGTGAGCGTGCTGCAAGGATGACACCCCGCCCCGCGCCTCTGGCCTGCCCTTGACCAGGGAGCAAAGCCGTGCGTGCCCGGCAGCGCGCAGGCTCTCTGGGTGGGCGTCCACCACGAGCTGTGCTGCTACCTGTGGGGGTCGCAAGCTACTCATGAAATCTCCTCCCTCACACGTGCTAACACGCTGCGCTGCTTGCAGACAGATCTTCTGAAAACCTAAGAGCTACCAACACCACTGACATCAGCGTCTGAAAACCAAGTTGATTATCCTCAGAAAAGCCTTTAGCAATGTGTGCTTTGACCAGGTAGTTTCCATTTTAGCACTGTATTTTAAGCAAATGATAACACACTGAGCAAAGATTTAACTGGAAGAATGAGTTATAGGCAACTTATATAAGAAAATAATTAGAAATAAAATTGTCAACAGAAAAGTGGTTAGGTACACATGGCATTTATGTTAAACATAACAGTCTGTATGTGATAAAGGAGATTTAGCATACATATAAAATTGTCACTCGATAGAGCTTAAAGTTGTATGTTTAGGAGGATCCTTGGCAGCACTGTTGTCCAACCCTTATCCATCCCAGCCCTTCTTTTTTAAAAAAAAAATTTTAAAGTTTATTTATTTATTTATTTGATACAGGGCCTCACTACACAGCTTCGACTCACAGTGATCCTCCTCTCTCAGCCTCCCCACCCCTGGGATTATAGGCATGCACCACCATGCCCAGTTTTGGTAGCTGGCACAGCACGCCCAGGGTGCCAGGGCTACTACAGCATACAGTATCCGGGATCAAACTTGGGCCCTTGCACTTGCCAGGCACGGGCTCAGTGTGCTAAGCTGTCTCCCCAGCCCAGCCCTTTTCTACTGAATTGATATTTACCTTATTCTTGGATATGGGAGTAACTGGGTTTCACCAGTTGTGTGAATTAACCAGGCCTGCATCAGTCAGCTGTTCGGTGTTCATCTGAAGACAGTGGTTGGTTCTCAAGTGGACACCTCCGGGCTTTTGCCAGCAGTTGTGAGAAGAAATACGTTGTCTTCATGTATATGAGACAGCGGGCAGACAGGCTGATTGTCCTGGACAACCCTCTCATGACCATGAGGAAGACCAGCCTCAGCTTAAGACATGATTGAGAAAGACAGAGATCCAGCAGTGGGTCAGAAGATCACACAGTGCCTGGATGCCTCTGCATGTTTTCAGCTGCAGACTAATAACTCTCATTAGTTCATTACTCCAACAAAAGCTCTGCTTTCCACATTTGGAACCCAAATCATTCTAATAGAGACACCAAGTATGTTAAAATGCAGCGTTGCATAGCACAAAGTTACAGAATAAAACGCCAATACCAGTTGGCTCTTGGTGGTGTGTTTGCCATTAAGTTTTCTCTCTGATTTATGGGCTTCTGTATAGATTGCCTATAATGAATATATGTTTTTCAGAAAAGTAAAAATATGATGATTATTAGAATCATCATAAAAATCATTAATTAAGCCAAAACCATCAGATTTTTAATTCCAGATGGTGATAAATCAAGTAAAATAACTCCTCAAGTGGAAGCTAATTTGTTACTGTCTTTATCTTTTTCGTTCCCAGAGTCAGAAACGCAAAGTTCTTAATCATAAAAATCTCATTAATGTTTTCAAAATTTTTTATTAAAAATTTTCAATCTTCTTAGTTCAAGATCCATAGACACTGGCACCTGGGTCAGTTACAACTGGCTTCAAGGGCACTGATGCTAAGGTAGGGAGGCTGTGTGTGGCATGGTAGAAGAACGGGTTCGGATTCCCCACCTGTCGCTTCCTGGCAATGACTTAACTCTTCTGAACTTTAGTGATTTCAGCTCAGAAACTATGCAGTTGGACTAAATGTTATCTCCTACGCTTCCACTTCTGAAATCTTGAGCTTTTGCGGATGGCTCTAAATTATGCTTTATTTACTGAGCAAAACTGATATTCAGCATCTGTTTGGGAAGTTTTAAGTAAGTTGCAGCAGGCACGGTGACAGTGACTGGTGGAGAATGAGAAATTGCCCACAGGGCTGGTGAGAAGCTTTTGAAGTTCTATACCAATGTAATAGGAAAACATGCTAACATTACACTGAGGTGGAGGAGTCTTTGTTGACAGGGTCACGTCACGTGCACGTGTGTCTCAGTGTCCCTGATTGTTTCATTATTATTGTTTGGTAGTAGGTATGACAAATCTTTTCCCTGTGAAATAATGCAGGAAGATTTGCATTAGAGTACACTTGTTCCTTTCCCGTATTCCTTTAATGGTTTGTGATCTTTGGTTGCCATTGACTGGATAAGAAGAACTTGGCTAACTAAAAGAAAGAAATTAGTGGTTGTGAATTCAGAAGTAAATTTCTTGCATGTCCCTTCCATGGAGGGAGCCGTGAATGACAACCTCTAGGTGGTTAGCAAGTGTTCTCATAGTGACCATGAGGATGAGTTAGGGTGCCTGCGAGGTGTGTGTTTGCAGCCATGTTCACATCTTGCTTTTGCTGAATTCATCCACAGTAGGGAACTCCAGCAGAGCCCTGCAAATAGCGATCAGAGTCCAGAAGCAAGATCAGAGGAGCTGGAGCAGGGCGACATCTATCACTGCCACAGCAGCTCCAAGGCCGCAGAGAACAGGGCAAAAGAGCAGGCACTTGCCAGGTGGAAGCTGCGCGCCGCTTTGGTGATATGCCTGCTCTGCATGGCCGCAGAGGTCGTGGATAAGCTCTGCCCAGAGGACTCCTCTGACTGAATAAGCAAACAAACAGACTGCACTCTATTATCGGAGCCTTACTTAAGTTCTTTTAAAGTAAGATTCACTATTTTCTGTAAGAATAAGGTAACAATATGCTCAGTGTAGATAAGTGGGAAGACCAAAGAAAACAAAACAAAATTCATTACTATCCTACATTCTAGAGATAACTTCCAATAACATTATGGAATATTTTGTATAATATATTTTCAATGCATACTTCATGGTTTTTTTTACATAATTGAGAGTATATTGAATGCTTTTGACTATGTTATCAAATGCTGCTCAAAAACAGTTTTATGCCTGAACAATATTCTATAATATGCTCCACTGTAATTTACATAACCATTTCTCCATTGTTAGAAATTTGGAGAGATTTTCTCCTGCTTGTGGACAATACTGCAGTGAAAAAGTCATGAATAAAACTCTGCCTGCCTTTCCGCTTAATCCTTTCAAAGAGATTTCTAAAGGTGGAAATAATTGGTTGAAGGACATGAATATTTTTCTTCCTTCTTGAGTCATATTGTTATCCAGAAAACTTAAAGTGATTTAAATGTCTTCTGATTCTACCTAAGAGTTCTCTTTCCAAATTTCTATTAGAACTTGCGTAGTCCTCTAAAAATCTGTGTTAAGGAAAGGATGGAGATATATGTTAATATTCACTTCACTAATTATTAGCATTAGAATATTTTCACATGGCTGATCGTTATTAGTGAAGAGTATTTCTTTCTCTTATGTATCTCCTGTCTGTCAGTCTGTCTATCATATAACTTGGGATCAACCCAGGGACACTCTCACTAAGCCATATTTCTAGCCCTCCTTTTCCAAATTTTAGTGGGAGGTAGTGTCCCACTAAGCTCCCAAGTGGGGCTTGCATTTATGATCCTTCTGCCTCAGCTTCCCTAAGTGCTTGGATTATAGGTTTACATTACAATTCCCAGTTCTTAATGTCCGTTGTTCATTTGTCATTTAGAGAATTCTGTAATTCTCTATATTGATCTCTGTAGGTTCTTTATATAGATAGGGTTTTAACTCTTTCTTGTATTAGTTATAAGTACTTTTATAGCTTGTTTATTCTAAAATTGTTTTGATCTTAAGAATTTTAAGTTTCACATAGGCTACTATATGAAAATTTGAGCTGAGTTCTTTCACTACTTTTCTTACTGTTTTGGTGCTTAGCAATTCTTTCTCATCTGCTGAGATGATAATTGTCTTTTTGAGGGAGGGATATTTGTTCAAATATTTGCATTTAATTTTAAACAATATGAAGTGAGATGTACTTTATGTTCTAAAGATTGCAAATTCATTTTCCAAATATCTAACAAAAGTTAAGAAGCACTTACACATAATTATTTCCCCCATTTATATTTGATACCCTTAAATTATTTATCAATGTTTTATAAGTAGTGAAGTCATTTCTAAGGTAGTTCTCTAGTCTGTGTCCCTATTCTCTGTCAGTAGCATATTTTTAACATCAACTCATAGCTTTAATGTCTGTTGTCTCCTCATTGTTCCTTATTTAACAGAAAATAAGAACTTTCCATCCCCATTTGCTCTCCTAATTGAGTATGAGAATAATTTTGAGCAGTTCTTCTCCCAATCCAATTATCAGTTAAGTTAGGAGCACAAGTTTTATTTGTAATTTATTTTAACTGCAATTTTCCCTTTTGATGCTGTTTTTCCAGGGTTTGAGTCAGGATTATGTATTCTAAAATGGAAAGTTTAGATTTAATAATTTCCTTTCTATAAAAAAGTCAAACAGTTCAAAACATTGTAATTACCTTTTGCTTTGAGAGAACAGCCTAAATCTCCCCTCCCAAGACATTTTTATACATATGTTCTTGATATATGTTTTAACTTTTCTGCTATGTTCATTCACTGCTAGTCTCAAAATTTCTGTTTCTTGAGAAATCTGACCATTTATATTTTGCCGAAGCTGCTCATCTTAAATTTTGAAATTCATTGTCATATAATGGGACAAGGCACCCTCACATTGGAATCTGCTCAGTACAAATAACTTTTTAAAATGTATTTGGTGTGGGATCTCACTATGCAGCTTGGACTCTAATGATTCTCCTGCTTTTGGCTTCCCTAGTGCTGGGATTACGGGTGTGTGCCACCTTGCTTGGACTCAATCACAGGCTTAGCGCCCCCCAGAGGCAGGACTGGCGCAGCATGTGGGACTGGAGATGGAACCCTTGTCCCTGCTCTTGCCTAAGCAGGCGTTTAGTCTGCTGAGCTATCTCGCAAGCCCAGTTCAAAGATTTTGGAATGCAATATTGCCTTATTTCTTCTGCAAGTATGTTTTCTAGATATTCAACAATCTGGCTGCCAAGTTATTAAATACTTTTCTCCTACCATGTCCCTGCATGACTACACTATTCCAGCCAAATGTGTTTATTAATCCTTTGCAAACTAATGACTATACTTTGCAATCCTTAGAGCTTTCGTTTTCTTGGGCTGAAGGGGAAAATCCCTGTCTATCATCAGAATCCTGGCAATCACTCTAGACTCTAGACCATGGGTCCCCCTTCCCAAGGCCATTCTTGATGCTCAGAGAAAACAGCTATGGAGTCTGCCAAAAATGTATTCACTTTCATAGTCCACCATACTAGCACATGCCTGGAGACTCCTGGCTACAAGTTTGAGCACCTGTTGTCATGGTAAAGGCCATAGGGATCTTGTATTAATCTCATGACACCTCAACAAATCTAGTATTAAAATATTTATACAAGTTTTCTCTTCCTGATGTGTACTTTCTTCGGCAGGCTCTGTAGCATTAGCATACCACCTATGGGCCTGGGAGACTTTGATGGAGTGGTCTGGACGCATGACATTCTACTGCTGCAGCTTGTCAGGTAGGAAACATCGGGCCTTACTTTGAAAGATCTCTAGTGGGCAGGCCTGAGACAGATTCTTAGGAATTTAGCTGGCAGTGTTGGGAGTGGCCTGGCACTTCCTGTTAAGAGTTGTTTGTTAGTCTTGTACTGGTTGCGGTTCTGATCCTCTTGGCCTGAGCAGCTCAGACTCTAGGCAGGATTCAGTGTGAGCAGCTATGCTGGGTGAAGCAGAGTCTGGATCTTCCTATAGGGAAGTTGAATCAATGTTCTCAATTCTTTCTGCAACTACTGAGCAGACATGGTACAGGTCTAGAGCGTCCAGAGCCCCACCTTTTTCATAAAGGGAAAGAAAGCCTGTCTATGAGATAATTAATAGCATCAGTGGAGTCAGAGCAGGACTCTGGAATCTTCTGAGCCTCAGAATTTGGCTATACCTGATTCAATCCCACCCAGGTTTGTTCTTCTAGCATGAGACCATGCATTATAATTGTATTGCTATTAAAGCAAGTTTGGGCATTGATGACATAGAAATGAAAGAGCCTACCTAAGGTCAGAGGAAGATGTGACCAGAAGATGTGGTCATTAAGAGGCAGGCCAAGAAACGTTGAGGTCCAGCGGGGGAGTTGGACTGATCCTTAGACCTGAATAATTGACACTTAGGATCGGGGGAGGGAGGGAGGTCACTGAGCTATGTTGGGGGGAACCACTGCTGGGAAGCACAGTGCAGAGCAGGGGGTGGGGGAGTAAAGCCAAAGGATCTAAGCACCATGAGTCCACTCTTCATGGGCTCTTGAGCTGCTGAGTTGAGACTTTATGTTGCTTCTGAAAGTGCCTTGCATGGAGAAGCCACAGAGAGATGTGCTTGTAAGCGCACAGACATCCCTGCAGGAAGAAGCTAGGAGTAGCCCTATCCCCACTCAGAGTTACTGAAGGCCTCAGAGTTCCTCAAAGATGTGAGAGACACAAGCTTGCTGAAAGACATGCTGAGCTGGCTGCAGGCTGGGAAAATGATGGCAGCTGAGAGGGAAAAGGTTTTCTTTCCTCAGAGAAAGATACAGCTGGTGGTGGTGGGCTAACCAAATATTGGCAAGGGGGTGCTTACATTTTTTCTACAAGCAGGATCTCACCAGCTTGTACAACAAATATGTTGAGGTTCGTGGTATTGGAAACTTAAGAAATGTCAAGACATGGCTATGGACACTGTGGTGTGCTAATTGTCCACAGTGTTGCCTGCTTTCAGGATAGTTAGATAATAGCTTGATGAATTTTTTTTCTTTTTT